AACTTTTCAGTGCGAATAACGTGTGTACAATACCAAGGTGAATAATTTATTAACACGGTAGAGACATCAGTTGATCGATCGCGGAGTGCGATTCGCAGGGTCGCACGATTTCACTACTGCAATTGAGTTTTGTCTCCGTTTCGATAGATACACACTAGAGATTTCTGAATCATTCGGATACCCTGTGATTTTCTCTATGCTCCCGTATGCTTCGGCCTATATACAAGTTTTGCTTCCGAAGAAAACTTTGATGGCGGAATGTGATTTTTTTTCGCTCTTACAGCAGCACAGGAAAGCTTTTTATAAATCAAATCCACTTTCGGAATCACCAGGCTTGTGCTATCAAATGATGACAAAACTTTTGTTATAGGGCCATCCACAGGCCCTAGTCCAACAACAAATGTGCGCCGACTGTGAAACGTAACCGTTATTGCCGCCATTACGCAAAGAGTTTTTTCCAGAAAACAAGTATAGTGTTGAAATCGCAGAAACTTAAGCTCTCGAATGGTTATTGAAAGTCTAGATAATTGGCTTTGTCCAATGAAAAGGCCATCCGTGTACATGTGACGTAGACGCCTTCACATATAATATATTAGTATCAATAATGATAATGAAGTATATTTTGAGAAATCGCCACTAATCCATCAAAATGTGCTTTTGCAACTATGTGGGATGCTATAGGTTTTGGGGGGAAATTCGAAAGTATAAGAGAGTTGAGCAATTTCTTCCACTCATTTGGTAGTTCTGCAACGATTCCATGACGTTATCTACATTTATAATATTTATACTTCTTGTAACTTAGATCTACAATTTTGTCCTAATAAATGAATTTACGTTTGCACTAGTAGGATAGTATTTCTTTATTCTGAAAAGTTCTGGACACAGGCTGTCTTTCAACTCCAGGTGCATTTCATTTATAAACTCAAAGAAGCATGAATCTGTGGAGAATTGGGCACGATAGGTAAACTATTGCACATTTCAAAAAAAGAATGTTCGAAGCCTAAACGACGTTAGTACGCCAGGGCCATACACCGGTGTATCGCCCTTCCGTCTCGCCCTCCTCGTCAGTGACCCACACCCCACATTAAGCCCTGCACTGTAGCAAGGAGGGAGGCGTATGTAGTGACGGCACAGTGTACAGTGACACTGGTCCACCACCATATCTCAGTCGATAGATCTCGGCTGGTAGAACAAAACTGATCCATGGCATCGAGCGAGGGCGAGACCTCCGAAACACCGGTTATGGCCCTGATGTACCAACCTCGCTTAGGTTTTAGACATTCTTTTTTTTTTAATTTAATTTGGATGTTCATTGCGAAGTTTTGAAAACAGTCGATGCCATGAAATAATTTTGTTCTACCAGCCGAAATCCATCGACTGAGAAGTGGTGATGGACCAGTGTCATTGTACACTGTGCCGTCACCACATACGCCTCTCTCCTTGCTACAGTGCAGTGCTTAATGTGGAGGGTGGGTCACTGACGGACGACGAGACCTCCGAAACCCCGGTGTATGACCATGGCGTACCAACCTCGCTTAGGCTTCAAATTTTTTTTTTTTTCGAAATCATTCTGAACGTTTATTACGATGTTCTGGAAACAGTCGATGCTATTACACATTTCTTGTTAGATCTTCTCTGGCACAAGTACACTGACATTCTCTAGACACTTTCGTAAATTTAAAATACTTAATTAATATATAATAATATGATCCATTCATATCTCAGCGAAGTCCTTCCGTATGAAATTTGCGTTCTTCTTCATTTCTTAATCGGTCTTAATCAGGTATTCGACCTCCAACACTTTTTTCTTCCTTTTCACTAAGACTGATGAATTTTTTCTACCACGAAACTCATCGTTATCGTTAATTAAATGTAATTCACTGATCTCTATCAAGTAATCTCGAATTGGTTAGTAGCATGGTACAGTCTTGAGTGGCAGCATCTAAGCGCTAACCAAACCGTGCCCTACCTTCCTTGTGTCCAGTAGAGTTTCAGAGAATAGGCTCCTTGTGTTTACCATCTGCTCATTCCTAACCTACAAATTTAACTTAGAGTCGACTTCTTCAGGTATGTGCGTTTCTGCAGAATCTGTAATTTTGTGTGTTGCATGAGATTTTCATAGAAATTTGCGATAAGCCGGCTAGAGGCGCTTTGGATTCCACGATGACATATAGTTCTATGTCTCTCTAGTAGACAAAAGTGACAACTCAGTGAGTAGCTTCTCTACATAACAAATGTGTGTAAAAACTTTTCTGCCCACCGTGTGTATTGATCTAATTTGTGATTTAAATATTGTTCACTCCGACCAATAAAAACGTGGAAATGGCCAGTGGTGAAGGTCGAGAAACTCTCTGGTAGAGCTATCTCAGGATGTAAGGGAGAAACAACTTGATTAGAACTGAACAATACTCATGGAAGGAACAATGTTGTCAAGTTGCAATTGAGTTCCCTTGCAACTCCGAACGCTTCCATGAATTACGGATGCTAGACAACGAATTAAATAAGGGAGGTGCTAGGATTTGGAAATGCGTAAAGGTGATCCATATGAGTGAACAAATGACTACGTTAGAAGCCGCGTTCAACCCTTTTTACGTGTCGTTTCAATTACTCACCTCTTACACTTCCATTTGCAAAGTTTGAACAATTGCAAGACTTTTCTTTCCGTTTCGGGTTGTTGAAAGTCGGAACAAATCGAAATCTCTTAATGACGTGTACGAAAGCTCACATAGTTCAAAACAAAGCAATAAACTTCCACGTAACGTACTACATTAAACGAAAATAATGACCACTCTGCAGGAAGGACGTCTTATTGTTGGAAAATTAACTTGAGTTTTCGCTCAGGACTCAAAACGGAAGTAAGAGCTGACAGTGAAACTGCCGTTTAGTTCGATTGGCAAGTTGCTAATATATTCATATTGGGTCCGTCATATGGGCACCGGAAGAAGCTCACCCCTAAGTGTCAATTATTTCGAATATAGAATTGCTTACATGGGAAGGAAGTACTGCATGTGTGGATGAATGGTGGCTAGTGATTTTTAGTCACATTTGTTGGAGGCATAATCACCGTCTCGACTTTCATCCTTGGTCAGAAATCGACAATGCTCAAGAAAACTGTCGAATGAAGCAATCAAACAGAGACATTGTTTATGAAGAATGCCAACTCTCACAGAGAAATAAATTATCGTTGTTATCGAGGTCTATAATCTGAAGTATTTTGTCGACATAGAAAAGCATTTCGAGAAGAACTTTTTAAACAAAGAAAAAAAGAACGACAATCAAGATAAACTTTAGTGCGACTACAGAAAAAGTGGCGAATTTGGCACACTAGATTATTTGTTCATTTCTGCCACTTAGAAGATTGTCAATAATGCTTACGTTGAAGATGCTGCGCACTATCAAGAGATCACTGAGTAGATGCTCTTCGAAAGAGTGTTCACCACTATCAACAAAAATAGCATGCTCTCTCAAAACAATGAAAAAACGTTTACTAAAGCCAGAACGCTAGTGATCGGATCTGATCATATAGCAATACCCTATCCTTTTAGAAGAGGCATCCACAGAAAGAGATTTCGATCATGTGCAAGAGGCAAATTATAAAAAGAGCCATGATGTGATGGTCAAGCACGAAGCCTTGAAACTATATCCACAAATGCTTCTTGTTTCTAAATACTTCCGATCCTTTTGGAATCATATAAAAATCAAACGTTATCTAAATGCTCATGGCAAAACCAAGTTGATTGATGAGTTTGCACCGTGCAGAATCTTCCGACCGTCTAAATCAAAGCAAAATTTGCAAAATCTTTTCCGTCCATCGCTTTTTTTCTACTTTTTTCTTTCAGCCAGTAATTGCTTGGGAAATTCAATTCTAGGTGTTTATCACCTCAAGCCATACCAATTATTGCCATTAACAAAAAATCTAATGAGACTTTGGAAACATTTTGCCATTACCGCATATAATGCATGTTAATGATCACTGTGTCGTGGAACTGCAAGCGCTCAACTGTTGTGCAGCTTCTCTAGCATAGATCTCTATTCAGGTCATTCAAAATGAGACTTCCATGTTGGACAGCTCTCCAGCTACTTTTGTATATGGTTCTATCTCTTTTTGTGTGGGGTTTTTCTCAATCTGGATGACTAAATTATTTTGCTCTTTCGTGACTTTCTTTTATTCAGCAAACAAGAGGTTGCCATTACACGTTTATTTTGTACAAAATAGTACAGCAGAGTTCGTATCCGTGGCTAACATTTCGGCAGTCTGCCCCTTGTCAGAACTTGAAAGAGCCAAATTGATGTGCAATTCACATAGATGACATTTTGACAACTAAGATGAAACTTGAGCCAAAATATAGAAGTTGGAGAGTGTAGTAATCAGCTATCGTTAAAGACTCATCGTCTTTTGCCGTTTACTAGTCCACTAGTCAATATGTAGACCAGCCGCACCGAGTATGGTATGAGCGAGGAATGATGTCTCGGTCTCGGATCCACCAAAATCGATCCGAGATATGGCGAGAAGTCACGCGTGATGACAAGGCATTCATCTTTCCGATTAATATTTGGACTTTTACTATAAATCCGAAGCGCTTTGAGGATTTTACGCGATTAAGTTTTTCGATTCTGTGTGAGGATGGATATTTCTGCTTCAAAGTTTACCTCCTTATGCATTAATGCCCTATGCGCACCTAGTGATTTTTAGATCAATTTTAACCTTGTTATCTAGATGTTCTTTGGTACGTACGTAGAGGAGCCTTCCCGTTTCCGCGATATATACACGCAGCACGTTTTACAAGAGATCAGGTGCATTGTACCTATGCTCTATGCATTCACCGTCTCTATTGTTGGGACATACTACGCATTCTTTCGTTCTACATAGACGGTCGTGAGCGATTGCGAACTAGTTGGCTTCTTGGATAATCGGTGGTATTTCAATAATTGTTATCGATTTTTCCAGGTCGGCCCTATGAGTATTTTGCACTTTGATGCAGAACGATGTGCAAAACATTTGCGTCAAGCGGGATTTGAACCCGCATTTCACCCAATCCAAGGGTGCATGCTATATCATTTGCACTACGAATGCCTGTTTTGCCACCACTCTTTCTACGCTACGGCGCATCTATCTGTAAGCAATCAATCGCCATAACATCATACCACCGCTATAAGAGGTCAAATAAAAAAAATATAGTTTGCTCTTTGTCCGCCTATGAACTCTTCTTTCGCAACTGACAACTCGGAAGTATAAAGTGTTGAAGTATGAAACTTTGTCCATCCGCGCTCAGCGGCAGTATCACCAGCGGAATACCCTTCCGAAGAAATCCAGACAACATTGATAGAGAAGAAAAACTCTCGCCAATCAAATGTGCCCGGAGACTTTATCAGGACCCATTAATCTCAGTATTATGCAGATTTAGTTCATTATTTTGCAACAGGAGAGCAAGTATTTATTTTTGTGGTGGTTCATACCCTTAAGCAATGAGGATGAGTCTACACGGAGCTTGTGCTCATTTCAAATATCCGACTGACTAAGTACATTTCGTAATCCTTCTCAATAACATCTTTAGTCATAGAGAGTCTGTTTCTTTCTCATATCAAACCTATTAAAAATGAAAAGAGCAAAATAGTAATCAATAAAACGATAAGTTGGTTTACGATTAGTAAATAAGAGATTGAAAGAGACGGTAAAACAGTAGGAAATAGATTGTAGCATAAGAACATTTATGTACATCGTTGCATTCTTCGGAATATTTCCTTGCATAGTTTCTTTTTCCTTCTTTCTTCAAAGAAATGTAGAAGGAGAAATTAGGAGTTGTTTTTTCTCGTTTCCATTATCTTCTTTTTCTTCTCTCATTTTTGTCTTGCTCATTTTATGTTCTAGAGTGTATTTCCTGGCGTGATTTTGAATATAAATGCAAAGTAAGACGGTTTTAGACAACTTTATAGCGGTTGTTATTATTCATGAGGAAACCGTCCTTCGCAGATTATGGATAATGTTCGTCACGTGTTGCCCTATTTGTTTTCAGCATCGGTTCATTGCACATCCGTCAGACTTTATGGCCTCAACCCTAGTGCCAGTGGAGTGCGAATGAGCACAAAAAATTTAGCAAACGAATTCTTTCCTCTCTAGGATTGATTGAGCGCTTGTCAAGTTCATTCTGTTTTTAATTTTTTGTCCCCATTAAAATTGTTCGTTGTTGCTTGAAACGTTTTTTTTTTTGCCTTTTTCGCTTTGTTTTTAGGTAAAACTATGCAGAATAAAAATATTTGTTTACCTATTTGCGAGAATGATTTTCGGAAAATGAGATGAAAGTTTCTGAGCAATCAGTCTCAGTGGTGTCACAAGTAGCGATCTTCATCTGCTTCAAGTTCTAAACGCTCATTTCCTAGTTTTCTCTCGCCAAGCTGTGATTTATTATAAATTCTTATTAAAGTTTCCTAGTCATTTGCGCAAATAAGCTCTGTAGAAAGTTCGTGCCATTATGGCTTTCTCATATGATTTTTGGGATGAAATAGCGCGGTTTTTGACAGTGTTCAATTGCGCGTTTTCTTGCGAACATTTTGGTATACAACGTGCTTTATCTGCTTTAAGATGGAGCTGTCATGGGAACAAATTCGCTTGCTACTCATGCACTAATGGCGGGTCTTATTTTTGAATGAAACAAGGAAGAGCATTGGAATATTGTTTGATATCGAAAGTCGTCTGAAATCAACTGTAGAGCGACGCAGCTATTAGGTCATTCCATAAGTTTTGGCACTAGAGCAATAAACACCAAATTCATTAATCACAACTAAATAAAACTGCTTGATTTCCGTATCGTTCAACTGGGCATTTTCTTGCTAACATTTTGTTATATAACTTGCCTATACCTGCTTCAAGATTGACCTGCCCTGGGAAAAAACGTATTTAATGGATTCTGCATAGTGGCAAGCGAATTTGTTCCCAAAACAGGTCCATTTTGAAGCAACTATTAGGCAAGTTGCATACCAAAATGTTCGCAAGAAAATGCGCAATTGAGCGATAAAAACATGCAATATCATTGTAAAAATCATATTAAAGAACCAAAACGGCACAAGCTTTTTACACAACCTATTACTTTGAATTGGTGTAGGTCATCATCCCTATTTGTATATAAGTCAGTAGAAATAAGAAACACTTGCTTGTTCTATGAATTCTTTGAAGTTTTCGCTCATATTCATGATAGATCTTTCCTCTAAGACGAGTCCAATCTTCTCTACACAGTGGCTTTTTCTGATATTTTCTCACTGTCATCAATGTCCGAAGGGAGCGGTTAGAGGTGTCGCACGATACACAAGTGATCATTGGTTTGATTCCGCGCTTCAAGCTCAATAAGCTTTTTATCCCTGCGGGGTTGGAAGTTTGGTGCTTCTTTGGGAGATAACGTCACTGATTTTATACATCAATCGCCATGACGATTCATTGTAAAAGTCAGATGTACATTCACTCGTCTCTAACGACTAATGAAGTCGAATACCTGGCGCATTCTTTAGAGGGGTTTATCAACGTCGACAGCTTTGACTTTCTTGCCATTGTCATACTAAACCTCACTGATTCTCTCACAAATTTCCACCTTTACTTGCTGCTCTTCGCTCGCTTAAAAGGTTTCATTTCACTTCTTTGCTATTTGCGGTTATTGTAGTTTCTTTCTGCATCACTACACACTGACGGCACGTCATTTACCAGTTTTCATCGTGCGTACTTTCACCGCAGACGTGACCAAGTATGTCGTGGCTTGTTATCGGTGGCGGAAGTATGTTCGAATTGTTGTGATCGTTTCTTCACGTGATATAAACGGAGCATATAACGGCTTACCGCTGATTCTAGGCATCTTTGATAGTTTCTTACGATTTGAGATCAAAAATGGTGAGGTTAAGAAAAAAAGCGATAGGCGGCGATCATTCCCTTGCGGATGTGCCATGAATTCGACTCTACAAGGCATCATTTAAGTTATTATATCTATATATACCAATTTAGTTCCTCGTTCTTTCACTAAATTGTAATTTACCGATTCGGCCACCCGGAAGATAGGGTTTCTGATTCTACCACGTCATATCGAACCAAAGTTCACTGCGCAATATCTGTCGGACGATAATGTGTAATCTTATGAAGGCGTTGCCGTGTAATGGCTCTTTTTTACTGCATTTCAATCTGAATCTTCCTTCTAGAATGACCTTCAATTCAAAACCGAAATCCGAAGTAATAAAGCGCCGAGTGCAAAATTGGTGACTTCCCATACTTTTCACTACTTACATTCACTTGAGGTTCAGCAATGCTGAGTTTGAAATTCTGGAAGAATTTTGAGTCGTGCAACAATCTCGAGCATACAATAACTAGTATAAGTACTCTTTTACAGAAGAGAAAAAAGGTCCTGTTGGTTCGCTAACACTTTCGACATTAGGTTTACTGCAAAATTATTCGAATTTTTGGAACTTCGTTTGATTTGTATTTCACATGTCCTCCATCCTTAGCACATTTTGCGCTTCATTGAAGTTTTACTGGTTCAACATGTTCAATTCTTTAAGGTACCACACTAACTGCTCTTTCTGAGGCTCAAACACGTCAAATGGAACTAGACTCGTCGCCTTGTGGTTGAGTAGTAATTGAGATGACAGTGATTTCTAGTCAAGATTCATTTGTGGATAGGCTTGCGAGCCTAGGTACTACTGTAAGTGAAAGAGCATGTATTCCAATTCCTTTCCTTACTGATTTCCCTGGATGGTTTCGTCAACAAGAACATGAGGGTCAGACAGGTTTCTTGTCTATTGATGGTTTTGTAGAGAGTTTTATCATATAGTTATTTATGAGGTAAGAGTATGGCGTTGGTTTTGATGCCGGTACACTTCCGGAAAGCCTTGACTAACTCTTTCTCAAGCCAGCAAGGTTTTCCTGAGGTTAAGAAATTAGTGATAGAGTTGTCCGAGGTTAAGTCGCTCCTTGTATCTTACAATTCTCTGCAATTACCAGCGATTAACCCTTTGACGTGGCACATAAATGTGCCACCATCCGCTCCATCGCGCGTCATACAGCGACGAGCAGTTTGTATTGACGCCGCTGCAGTTGAAACATGGGAATTTAATCAGTAAATTGAGGTTCTAATGGGATATTAAAATCATGGAATAACACAGCGGAGACTTCTTCGAAGGTTTTCTTTATATAAATAGCGCCCATATGTTGGAAAAACTCCTCTGCTCCATCAAATTCACGTTCTTCCGAAAAAGAGCAATTTTACAGCTGTTACACAATATTTCGTTTCTTTTTCTGATTTATGTAGAGGCCTTGGCGGTACATTCTACTTATGAAAAAGGATTACATTTCGATTTTGGAGTTTTTCCTTTCAAACACGGCGGTTTTCTTTGCTATTATATAGTGAAGTTTTGCTTCTAGGCAAACTTGTCGTTACAAAAAGACTGAGTATCATCAGAGGGACTTCTAAACGTATTTTCAGTGGAAAAAAAAACGTCCAGCTGCCCTAAAATATCCACTTTTCATAACCAATTGCGTGGAATGCAGTCTCGTTTCCTAAAATGTGCTCGGGTTATCTCGTCTTTTTTACTCAACAGAGCTGTTTGTGTGACTACAAGTCCTTACTATATGTAAGCATAATATATGTGTGACTATAAGTAAGAGCTAATCCTTCTTTAGCTAGAAAAATGTGAGATTCAGTACTGGGTTTGGCTCCAAAAAAGGCTTCCATCTTACTCTCTAATTGTAAGAAGAAAGTAGCATTTTCTTTTTCAGTGCACTGTATAATCACAGCGGATTTTTTTTTTCTATTCTAGAGCGAAATTTTGGTTATCAGAAAATCTTTTTCACTACGAAAAAATAAATTATTACTCGAATGGTTTTTGTGAAAGTATTTTTGATGGACATAACGCCCAGATATCCTGGAAATCTCAACTTTTCATAACCAGTTATGTGGAATTTAGCTGCATTCTGTGGAGTGTACTCGTGTTTCCTTGGGTTTCTCACGGAACAAACTTTTTCATTAGACTATCAAAAATCATTCGATAGTTTAAGAAATGCTGATTCAAACGCTGATCTTCGTTTGTAAAAAGACTTCCATA